CCCACAGCCCCCAGAGGGGCGCGCTGCTATCCCCATCTCCGAGAGGGAGTGGGGCTCCGTGGGGCTCCACATGGAGGTGGGGAGTCCAGGCCAGGCTTTCTGAGCTCAAGCCTGTCCCCCTGACCCCACACTGTCCCCAGGTTTGTTCCTACGCACACCTACACTGGGAGAGTCCAGTTCCTTCCCCAGTCACTGTCCATGGACCACCCTCCTCGGCGGCCCCCTCCTCCAGCCCCGCGCCCTCCTGCAGGCACCCGGGGGAGGTATGAGGGGCCCCTCTTGGACTCCACCTCCAACAGGAAGCAGCGAGACCCGTGCCTGGACTCGACGCCTCCCCCTCTGCCACCAGACTCCCTACCCAAGCGGTGGTGTGTCCGCTGGTCTGAGGGAGGGACCTTTCCCAGAGCCGAGCCTCGGTCCCTCCCACACCTTCTGGTGTCTGTGGGGGACCTTCTCTCCAGGTTCTGGTGCCAGAGCCCAAAACACACAGAGGCACGGACGCATAAGGCCTGCTCTGCTGGAAGTCATGTAGTGAATCGCAGGGGCGGGGGGGGGGGGGGTAGTTGCAGTATAGCCTGGGCTCCTTACACCCTCCATCTCCCACCGGGGCCTCCAACCAGCCACAGAGCAGGCAGCGGTGAACCCATTGTACAGATGTGCACTCAGAGGCTCCGCTGGGGAAAGAGATTGACGTGGGACCAGCCAGCAGCAAAATACCCACCCGGGGTTCAATCGATGTTTTTCCAGAAAGGGATAAAGAGGGGAAACCCACAGTGCTGAGCAGACAATTTTCTTTTTTTTTTTAATTTTCAAAAGTTTTCTTTAAAAAAAAAAACTTAGGGGGAGGTCTAATGAATGCTCTCGGTAAAAGAAAACGGGGCACATCACATTGGTATGCTGCGAAAGGTCAGCAGCTGTAACATTTTATGATTCAATGCAAAAAATATGCACCGTTCCTCAGCTGAATAAGTAGTATAAACAAAACAATTTTTTTCTTTCTTTTTTTTTTTTTTTTAAGATGCAGGGTGGGTGTTGCCGTTTTCTGAGGACCTCTTTGCTGCCCTCGGCCAATATTCCTCTGAGGGTAGAAAACGAGGTTAAAAAAAAGAAGCACTCAGCCCTGAATCTTTCTAGAACTCAGGCAGAACGCGTGAGCGTGTGTGAGCGAGGCGAATGCAGAAGTCGCCTCTGATACCATCGCGGACCCACGACACAGGGGCCTGAAACCCCCTCGGCGAGCAGAGGGAAGGGACCAAACCGCAGAATGTTCCTGGCCCGCCCGGCCCGTGGCGCAATGTTTATGTTTGTGTACCTAGCGAGTGGGTGCACCGCCTGGGGCTCACGGGGGAGGATTGGGGGGCCTCTTCCTGGGGCTCAGGGCTCGGGGACCCAGGGGGTCTCCCCAATGCTTGTCCAGGTCCTGGGGTTCCTCTTTAGGCGCCTTAGGGTTGGATTTCGAATTCAGCCCCCACAGCCGGCGAGAGCCAGGGCGAGGGGTCAGGGCGGGCTCCCAGGCAGCGCCCGTTCACCGTACAGAGATGGGGCGGATCCACTGGGCGAAAGCGGTGGTCGGCAAACTGCGGCTCCCGGCCGGCGGCGTGCCTCGCTGTTGACTCCTGAGCTTGCCGACCGCCGGTTTACAGCAAACGCGGCCAGGGCGCGCCCGGCGGCCCCTGGGGGGCGCTCCCACCCCCTAACCCGCCGGCCCCTCCATCCGCAGGAGCGCCCGGCGACCCCTCGGCACCAGGACCTTTCTCCCCCGGCGGGCTGCGGGGAAGGCCCTGAACTTAGGAAATGTGCTTTTTTTTTAAGTCACAGGGAAGGCTGGGGAACGGGAAGGCGTTTTCCTGAGCTCCTCCGCCCCAGCTCGGCGCTCTTGTTCAGGGTGGGAGCCCTGGGGACCAGTCCCCCCCCACAACCCCCTTCCCGTGCTGCCGGGCGAGCAAACCGCTGCCCCCGGGCCTCTGCCCCCGCCGGGGACCAGGAAACCAGAGACAGGGGCGCCGCACGCAACGCGCAGGAGGCCCCTTTCCGCTCCGGGGCGCGGGGAGGGGAGGGGAGGGGAGGGGGGAAGATTTGGGGGAGGAGGAGGGGGGAGGGGAAGATGGGGGGAGGGGGAGGGGAGAGGGGGAGGGGGGCCAGTGGCATGCCCCCGCCCCAGCCGCTGGCCCCGGCCTGCCCCGGGCCGGCAGCGCCCCCTCCTCTCCCGCCGCTGCGCCCGGAGCGGGCGGCCCGGGCCCCGGGGACCGCGGGGAGCCGGCGGCCGGCGGCCGGGGGAGGGGGGGGGGGGGCCGGGGCCCTCGCTCCGAGGCCGATGACGTCTTCGCCTCTGGCTCCGCCGGCGCCAGGCTGGGCGGGCGGTGACGTCACCGGGCCACGTGACGCCCATTCAAATAAACAAACCCCCTCCCCCCGGCCCGGCCCCGCCCCGGCGCGGCGGCTTATAAGCCTCCCCGGCCGCCCGCCGCGGACGCCGGGCCGAGGACGAGCGGGGCCGCAGGGCAGGAGCCAGGGCAGGAGCCAGGGCAGGAGCCTGGGGCAAGAAGCACCGGAGAGCCGCGCCGCCCGCCGCCCCGCGCTCCTCCGCAGGCGAAGGGTTTGGGATCCGCAAAGAAAAGAGAGAGCCCCCGGGGTCGGACCGCACCCCGAAGCCGCCGCCTCCCGCCCTCCGCCGAGGACAAAGCGCCGGAGAGCCGCACGCTGGGCGCGCGGGGCCCGAACATGGTCATGGAGGTGGGCGCGCTGGACGCCGCGGAGCTGCGCGCGCTGCTGCGGGAGCGCGCGGCGCAGTGCCTGCTGCTGGACTGCCGCTCCTTCTTCGCCTTCAACGCGGGCCACATCGCCGGCTCCGTCAACGTGCGCCTCAGCACCATCGTGCGGCGCCGCGCCAAGGGCGCCATGGGCCTGGAGCACGTCGTGCCCAACGCCGAGCTGCGCGGCCGCCTGCTGGCCGGCGCCTTCCGCGCCGTCGTGCTGCTGGACGAGCGCAGCGCCGCGCCCGACGCCGCCAAGCGCGACGGCACCCTGGCCCTGGCCGCCGGCGCCCTCCGCCGCGAGGCGCGCGCCGCGCCGCTCTTCCTCCTCAAAGGTGCGCCCCGGAGACCGGGCCCTGCGGGGGGGGGGGGGAGATGGTGGGAGGACTGGCCTCAGGTCCTGCCCCAGGGAAGCGGTGTTCTGGGGGTTGCCATTGGCTTTGTTTGGCGCCAGAAAAATGGTTCGCGGTAAACCTCCAGCCCTGGTGAGGGGGGGCTGCATGGAGGGGCCCTGTCCCGGCGGCACTAACGGGGGAAATGTCTCTGTTCCCAGGAGGATACGAAGCGTTCTCAGCTTCCTGCCCGGAGCTGTGCAGCAAGCAGTCGACCCCCATGGGGCTCAGCCTTCCCCTGAGTACGAACGTCCCCGACAGCGCCGAATCGGGGTGCAGTTCCTGCAGCACCCCACTCTACGACCAGGTTAGTAGGGGGGGGGTGTGCCAGAGGTGGGGGGAGGGAGGAACAGCTGACAGCCTGGGGGAGCAGTGTAGTGAGAATATAGAAAGTGACCTGCGTTGTTGCTTAGGACAGAGGGGGCATTGTTTCCCCGCGGTCAGTGCTCTGGTGATGAGCCGAGCCTCTAAGGCCGGCACCACAGACGTGACCACCGGCCACGCCGGGCAGACGGGGTTAGTAGTCCCCATCCTATTTATACCCGACGACAGTGCTGGGGAGGTCAGCGGCGTCCGAAGCTGGCTTCCCGCGGGGAGGTTTGTGGTGCGGGCGCCGCAGTGACTCGGAGCACAGCTTGACAAGTGCTGGTGTGTTTGGGTTCCAGGGCGGCCCGGTGGAGATCCTGCCCTTCCTGTACCTGGGCAGCGCCTACCATGCTTCCCGCAAGGACATGCTGGACGCCTTGGGCATCACAGCCCTCATCAACGTCTCCGCCAACTGTCCCAACCACTTTGAGGGCCACTACCAGTATAAGAGCATCCCGGTGGAGGACAACCACAAGGCCGACATCAGCTCCTGGTTCAGCGAGGCCATTGACTTCATAGGTAAACGGAGCGGATGTGCCCGAGACGGCTCCCCGCGCCACCCCCCTCCCCCCGGCATAGCCACCGAGCCCCACACACCGCGGCCAGGCCCGAGGGACATTCCTCTACGCCTTCCTCCTCCTCCACACAGGAAATAGCAGGCTGGTGTGGGTGACACCCCGCACACGGACGGGACTGATGCCCCACTTTTCAGATGGGCAGGCCCGAGGCTTAGAAAGTGGAATGGATTTGTCCAACCCTGTGCTTTGCACAGTGGCCTCCTGGCCTCCATGGACAGGGTCTTGGTCCACGGACAAGGTCTGGACCACAGACAGGGTCTGGTCCACGGGCAGGGTCTAGGTCCACGGACAGGATGTAGGTCCACGGACAGGGTCTAGGTCCACCGACAGGGTCTCGGTGATGGCAGGAGTCCATGCTGAGCATCTCTGCACGGACACGTAGGCTGTTGCTTGGACCCCTGGGGCCAGGGCCGTGCTCTGGAGCTCCTGGGTAACCCGTCCCCCTTTGTCTTCGCAGACTCCATCAAGAACGCCGGAGGGAGGGTGTTTGTGCACTGCCAGGCGGGCATCTCCCGCTCGGCCACCATCTGCCTCGCGTACCTCATGCGGACTAACCGGGTGAAGCTGGACGAGGCCTTCGAGTTTGTGAAGCAGCGGAGGAGCATCATCTCCCCCAACTTCAGCTTCATGGGCCAGCTGCTGCAGTTCGAGTCCCAGGTGCTGGCCCCCCACTGCTCGGCCGAGGCGGGGAGCCCCTCCATGTCCATGCTGGACCGGGGCGCCTCCACCACCACCGTCTTCAACTTCCCCGTCTCCATCCCCGTCCACTCCACGAACAGTGCGCTGAGCTACCTGCAGAGCCCCATCACGACCTCTCCCAGCTGCTGAACGGCCACGGGCGGCGATCTCACAGCTTCTCCTCCTCCTGCTCCTCGAGAGAGAGAGAGAGACAGGCGGTGACTCCAGGGAGTCCTTATTTATTTATTCATTTCCCCCAGTTCCACTGGGTTCCCACGCCGTCGCAGCAACGGCTGAGCATCCTCCAGGCATTCGCTGGGCTCGGCCTGTTCGGGACCAACGTCCAGTGGGTACGTCGCATCCCCCCGACCCGGGGGCGGAAGAGAGAGGACTCCGTGTGTGAGCCCGTTTCTTTTCGCCTGCCCCCGTTTCTCTGTAGACACGTCACGCTCGACATACCCACCAGTGTTACCATTCCTGACGACACATGCATATGCGAATATACCTTATTATTTATTTGTGCGGGGGCGGCCCGCCCTCGCCGAGGCCCGCGTCGCCTCCGGGAAGAACCGAATACCTCAGTTTCTGTGTTGAGTCCTCGTCCCGTCCTGCACACACACGGCCCGAGCAGGCTCGCCCCCCGCGCACCGGCGGGAAGAAGGCGCCTGTGTGGTTGTCTTTAGTTGCCAACAGTTGTCTGTTCGCTGATTTATTTATGACCCGGAATAATATATTTCTTCTTCTGAGAAGACATTTTGTTACATAAGGATGACTTTTTTTTTTATACAGCGGAATAAATTATGCCATTTCTATTGAACGCTCGCTCACGTGCTTGCTTTCTTGGGCAGCCCCCGAGCCCGGTCCCCCCAGTGGAGAAATAGGGGTGAGTCAGCAGGAATGCGCGTTGGGATCTGGTGCCACCCTCCTGGGTGGCCTCCGTCCCACGAGATAACGGGAGTGGCCAGGTAGGTCGAGAAGTGGGGTTGATCCTGGCATACCAGGTGCTGTAGCTGAGCTGTTGGGTTCCAGGGTCACTCCGTAGATCCCCCTCCCATGCCACCCAGGGGCCCGTGCCCCCAGAGCCAGCGCTGAAAAGAGGGCCATTGGCTTGGGCTGCTTTCTCATTGACCACCTTCTCCAAGATCACAAGACAATCCTCCCTCATCGGGCTGTGCTAGCTAGGAGGGTGATGGTTTTCCAGACACTTCACATACATGCATGTGTTCCTGCTCCCTGCCGGTGGGAGGGTGCAAAACAAACCCGCCAAATCCTTGCAAGGATGCTGAGACCCAGCCTCGCTAAGGGGCGGGGAGTCAGGGAATTGGACCTGCATCTGTTTTGTGTCCTAATTCCATGGCTTTGCACTTCCCTCTCCCACATGCTCTTGTTTTTTGCCTTTGAAAAGACCTTTATTGTGAAAATGATACCTCAGGTGGTTCCAAACCCAAGCACTGTAAGCAAATACAACATAAACAAGTGACCTCACGTCCCCGCCCTCCCCGCCCCCACCTGGCATCCCGCAGGCTCCGAGCTCACCCGCCTGGAACCCCAGCCTGGGACCCCAGCCTGGGCACACAGCATGCTCCACCCCAGAACCCCGGCCTGGGAACCCGGCCCGGCACACAGCATGCTCCGTGGCTCCTCCGGGCCACTCGCTCAGGTTTCCTGATGGTGTGGAAGCCAGGCTATTAAATCCAACCTGCTCGAGGGCGACATTCTGGATTTTTACTCTCTCCTGCCAAACAGGCCAAAACAGAGCAGGTGTGACCCGTGATCAGTCTATAATGCTGAATGAAACAGCAGCGAGCTTCCTGGCTCACTGGCCCCTTAGCTCCTGCCCCCTCCACGGGCTTCTGGGCCAAGTGCTGGAGGAAGCAGGAAAGGAACCGCCTCGACTTGCCTAGGAGCCCCCAGCCCAGTGGTGCTGGTGCAGGCCCCGCCCCCCCGCCCCTCCGCCCCCCCCCCCTCACCTTTCCCCTTCAGTTGACCTCCTGCCACCCCGTTCCCAGGCCCAGAGATCCCTGTGTTCCCTGAGGTTCTAAGAACTTACTCTGGGCCGGCAGGCTCACTTCCTCGGCCGGGCTTCCGATTTCAAGTGTGTTCACGTCTTTCCAAACAAACCTTATCCAGTGTTTTTATCAAACTCGAGACGCCGGCTGCCGCCAACACGTCCCTTTGTGGAAATGTACCAGCGGCTCCGAGCCCGTGGCAGATGCCGTGGCTGACTTCCCCGTGGGCTCGGGCCATCACTTTCTGCTTGGCAGGCGCTGGTTAAACCAAAATTAATCTCCATCGGGATCCATGCAGTGGAAAAATACAGCGGCTGCCTGAGGGAGCCTCCGTGAAAACAGTGCCCTCACTCCTCCCCCCACCCCCCACCTGCCACCCCAGGAGAGCGGGTGACAGCCCCTTCCAGGCGGATCTGATTCCGGGTCTTCAGGCCCTCCAGGAAATGTCACTTTGGGCCTGAAACTGCTTTTCTTAGGGGGGAAATGTACCTCAGTGGGGGGGAAAAAGAGAAAAGGATGCTTATATTATGAAAACATTTGCTTCTCAATGGAAGATTGGGATAGAGACAACTCAACCACTGAATACCGGTAATGTGGTAACAGCTGTCGATTTTAGCCCCTGGGCTAACTGCTTTGCACACCTTTCCATTAAGCCTGTCACAGCAGCACCCATTGTACAGAGGAGGACGCTGAGGCCCAGAGAGGGCGGGGACAGCCCTTGAAGTCTAGTTCAAGGCCAAGCAGCAAGTACAGGGCATTGCAGAGACTGGGACCCACGTCCTAGTTCAGTCCCGAAGACAGCTTGAGGGAGAGGGGAAAATGAGCTTTGTGGCCGACCAGACACCCGCCTTGGTCTTTACGGGAAGCGGTAGGGTGGGAAATCTAGTTATGTGTTTGGGCCTCAGTATTCTCATCTGTAAAATGAAGAGAATAAAGCCAGCTCCCTGGCGAGGAGGAGTAGGCCTCATGAATGTAAGTCCCTGGGAAGAGTGGGCTCAGGAGAGACGCCTAGACCCCTTCCCGGCTCCTCGCGACCGGCTGCGAGCTGGGGTCCCAGTTTTTCTCCCCATAAAACCACGATGCGCTGGGTCTGACAGGCAAAGCTCCTTGCAGCCCTCAAATCCGAGGACATGGAAAATGCATCAATGCAGAACGCTTTCCTGTGGTTTCCAGGCGCCCATTATCCCATTAGGACACTTTCAGCCCCAAACGCCTCCACAGCACCCTCTCCTTTCCTTGGAATTTTGCAAATCGGGGCTCATTTGCCTTGAACTTGCAGCCTCCAGCCTTCCATTTCCCTCCCTCCTCCCGCCCCCGCCCACGGAGGATGCCATCCTCATGTGTACACCTTTAAGATGATATAAATCTGTGATTATTCAGTGGGTTCCGTCCCCATGGTAACGCGGAGGAGTTTCCCTTTTGTGAGGAAAGCTGTCATGTCACTTCCTGCTGCTGACAAATCAGTTTAGGAGATTAAAATGCCGGGAGGGAGGCGGCTGGTGGGGAGGACGGGTTCTGCAGAAGTGCTAGCCGCGGTGGTTTCTGGTTGCCATCACAGAGGCAAACAAAGCCCAGAGCGGAGCGCAGCCCCGCCCGGCGCTCCAGGCTGCCCCCCCACCCCCCCCAAAAAAAAACCCTGGGTCCAGGTCCTCCCATGCTGGTGTCCTCTGCAGGTCACATTCTGGGGAGCAGGTGGGAGGGCTGCCCACCTCTGGGGACTTCCCTGGGACTCTGCAGGGCAGGACGGAGGGAGAACAGCTTCTGGGGCCAGACCTGTGTCTGCACCCCTCTCTTCTGAGAACAAAGGGTAACGCACGATGCTGGCTCCCCAGTGAACAGCAGCTTGAAGCCCCCGTGCTTGACCCGACTGAGGCTTCTGAAGCTGAACCTCAGGCCCGTCCATTCACTCCTCCATTCAATCATCAGATGCTCACTGACTGTCCATGGGCCCAGGGCTGCTTCAGCGCAATGCAAGGTTCCCACTCCAGCAGCTGCCCTTGGGGCTGGGGCGGGCGTATGAACAAGTCAAGAAATAAGGATGAAGTCTCTAAAGGTGGGATAATAAAAAGGGGGGCTCTTTATGTTTAATGTTTATTGATTGATGGGCAATCTGAGAGAGGAAGCGGGAGAGAGAGACATCGATCTGCTGGTCCGCCTATTTCTGTATTCGTATGTGCCCTGACCAGAACCAAATCCCCAGGCGTGTCTTCTAGGGAGGAGGGTGCAACCAGCTGAGCTGCCTGCCAGGGCCAAGCGGGGACTGGGGAAGAGGGATCCAGCGAGACAGGCAGCAGAGACCTGGGGTGTGGGTGCCATCTCTGTGGGTTGGTGGGTAGAGCACTTGGCTCGGGGTCAGCTAGACCTGAGGTCAAGTCCTCCTGAGTTCAAATCCTGGAACTGCCACTGCCACGTCGTATTTAGTGACTTACTGTGAGCTCCCACACTCTTTAAGCCTCCGTTTAAACACGGTCAGTAACCTCTGACCTTAAAGGCTCTTAAAGGATTAAATGAAAGGAGGTCACCCCTGAGCACCTCGGGGAGGCCTGGAAAGGCTTGTTGTCCTCTTGTGACTCAGCTGGTCCCTTGAGCAACAGCGCCCGTCCCAATCCCCTCCCCGCCGGAGAAGTGGGTGGTCCTGCTCCACTCTGACCACCCCCCCAGGCACACACCCCAGGCCTGCGCGGCTGAGGGGCCAGCTGTGCTGGGTGGCAGCCTGTTTGGAGACCACCAGCCCTGCCCCATTGGCTGCAAGGCGTGCTGCTGTGCGGCCTCAGGTTTCCACAAGAAGCTCCTGCAGGGACCATCTGTCCTCTCCTGCACGGTCAGCGTTAAGCCCCCTCCTCGCCCACGCCGGGGAAAGCTCTGGAACGTCTGCACCTCATCAGGGCCAGTCCAGGGGGACAGAGGGAGAGGGAATGAGACACTTTTCTGGGGAAGGGTAGCGGGGGTCCCGGACCTCGGGAAGGTGGGTGGGTGTGATGGAGAGCGATGTCGCTCACAAATGGCCCATCACAGACACCCGCCCACCCAGCCCGCCCTCACCCAGCTCCAGCCCATCACAGACACCCGCCCACCCAGCCCGCCCTCACCCAGCTCGGGGCAGTCCTTGGGTGCCTACCACACTGCCACATTCAGGTGTAAAAGCTTCATCAATGGGCCCTTGTGGTTGGCTGCCTCCTTCTTCATTCTTTGTGTATTCATTCATGTATTCGTGTATTCATTCATTCAACAAATCATTCATTGTATTCATCCATTCATTCAACAAATGCGTGCCTTTGATTTGCAAAACAATATATGCCTTTTCCAGCCTCTGTGTATGTGAGTGTGAGTGTGTGTGTGAGTGTGTGAGTGTGTGAGTGTGTGTTTCTGTGAACTTGTTGCACCATCCAGACCAGACCCATGCAGGCACATAACCCAAGGCCCTCCAGGATGTGACCACTGCCATCCTCTCCAGCATCGTTCTCCCTGTCCCCCCGCTGTCCTTCACGCACGCTGAGACTCGCCGTGGTCAGAGTCCATCACGCGCTCCGCCCCTTCCTTTTGTACGTGCTATTCCTGTGGCTCAAACGTGAGCCAATCGGTGGAGCCCGCTTTGGCCATGGAGACCTCCTTGTCTCTGCATGTGGCAACATCCCACTGCCAGCTCAGGGAGTGGAAGCCGGCCACCTCACTGAGAACCGGGCCTGGAGACCGAGGACGTCCCCCCAGGGAGCTGGCCGTCAAGGTGGACATGGAAGCCAGGGTTGCCGATTCTCCGATTTTTAAAAGAAGGCGGGAGGTTGTGTGTGTATTTAAAATCTCCTGCTTT